AAACCTTTTAAAAGTGTAATTGATTACAATATTCATTAATGAGTTAGCTTTTACATTCGTTAATCTAAGTAATAATACCAAAGTGACACACACGCGTGATGAAATATTGAGATCATTATCTACACAAATGCAAACAGAACCTAATCATCTGGAAAATGTGGTCGACCAACAAATTATTTGCTAGCTATCTGTATGCAATTATCATATATCATTCAACATGCAATATGGACCGGAGCATTTCATTTTTGTTTGATACTGTATATTGCTAGATGAATTGGAATGAGATTCATCAATACGTGAAAACGCTGTTCTTGTAAGACATGCTAATAAATGGTTGTTTAGTCTCCGTTCGGACGAAGTCCGAAACGGGGACTTGTTGATTGACCTCTGTGCGTGCGTCCGTGCATCCGTGCGTCCGGACCTATATCTTAGACGATTACATTCAAACTTTACACTTACGTCATAAATAATATCATACAGATGCACATCAATTTGTTTCACTATCTGATTCAAGATGGCTTATTGGCGGCCATTATTGCACTGAAAAATCTTCAAATCAAGCATTTTTCGGCTGTTTACAGATAAATTTTGTTCAAACTTGGTACATACATGAACAGTATGGGTTCCTGATGCACGTTATTTTGATTTTTTAGATCGGATTCGAAATGGCTGACTGGCGGTCATTTTACCTGGATCTTGCCAAACGACAGAAATAAAAACCAGATCGACCATGTTATTGTCAATAATAAGTGGCGCGGTTCATTACAGGATGTACGTTTATAACGTGGAGCTGATGTCTTCAGTAATCACTATTTAGTATGTGCAACAGTCAAGCTTAAACTAAGGAAGGCAGCTGCTAGTAAGCTGTAGTAGACTTAACATACACCAACTGAAATCACCTGTTGTCAAAAATCAGTTCATTTTGGAAATACAAAATCGGGTTAGTGCCCTAGAAGATCTTGATCTATAAGATGTAAAATCAAAATGGGATAACATTAAGAACATTTATGTTGAAACTGAAAGAAAGTTCTTGGTGACAAAGCCAGCAAATCTAAGGAATGGTTATGTCCACACACCTGGAAACGCATTGATGAGAAGAAGGAAATTAAGAATAAATTGCTTAATACCAAATCTCAGAGACTTCAGGATCAGCTAAATGAATTGTACCGAAATGAGTTAACAAGACAAGAACAAGGAAGTTAAGAAATCCGCTAAAAATGACAGAAGGAATTGTCTCAACCATAAGGCAGCTCGAGCTGAGCAGGCAGCACAAAGAGGCGATTTCGTCAGTGTTGTCTACAAAATTGCCAAGGAACTCTGTAAATCCAAAGCAAATGCAAATCAATCTATTCCTTTGACAGAAAAAGATGGAAAGACCATTTCTTCTGAACATGGTCCAGCTGAATGTTGGGTCCAACACTTCACAGAAGTATTAAATAAACAGAACCAGAATTACCGGCACATCCTCAACCAGCCAGAAACTATTTGGATATCAACATAGTTCCTCCAACTACAGAAGAAATCATGAAAGCATTCCAAAGTTTTAAAAAAATGGTAAAGCTGCAGGTTTCACTGCCATTTACGCCGAGATGTTAAAAGCAGATATAGTCACTGCGACAAACTTCCTTACCAAACTTTTTCACTGTATTTGGACCAAAAATGAAATTCCGGAGGATTGGCGTAAAGGGCTCATCGTAAAACTTCCAAAGAAGGGTGATTTGGCAAACTGTAACAATTGGCGGGGAATTACTCTCCTATCAATTCCAAGCAAAGTCTTCTGCAAAATCCTTCTCAATAGAATGGAAACAGCCATTGGTACATAGCTCAGACCAGAACAGGCCGGTTTCAGGTGCATTGACCAAATTTTTGCACTACGAAACATCATAGAACAATGTTTGGAATGGAACGCATGACTCTTTTTCAATTTCATTGACTTTAGGAAGGCGTTCGATAGTGTACATCGAGAGCTTATGGAATTCACCCAAAACTCATACAACTAATCAAGACATTTTATGTAGACTTGAGTGCAGCATCATCCTAGACAACGCTCTTTCAGACTGGTTCAAGAGTACGACAAGGATGCATACTCTCACCCATGCTCTTCCTTATTACCCTTGACTGGGTAATGAGAGACACAAATGTCGGCAAAGCAAGATGAATATAATGGTCCATGTTCTCCAAACTTGACGATCTGGATTTTGCAGACGATATAGCTCTGCTTTCATCAAGACTAGACCACATGCAAGAAAAGACCAACAGGCTCTCTAGGTTTGCAGCACAAACAGGACTGTCAATCAATGAGAAAAAGACACAGCTATTGAAAATTAACACAACAACCAAAACCCACTTAAAAATAAGGGTAAGGCCATCAATGAAGTTGATGATTTCACTTACCTGGGCAGTAATGTGAGCAAAAAGGACAGCACAAGTAAAGACATCAAATCAAGAATAGCCAAAGCCGGGAATGCTTTCGTAAAACCAAATCCAATTTGGAAATCCGGCCAATATAGTCAGAAACTTAAACTCAGGCTCCACAATAGCAATGTAAAATCTGTCCTCCTCTATGCATCCGAATGCTGGCGTGTAACAAAATCCGACATGACCAAGTTATCACCTTTCCACAATGGTTACCTTAGGAGAATTTGCAGAATATTCGGATAAGTGATCTCCAATAATGACCATTATAGGCAAACACATTCTAAGGACATTATTATTGAAATTCAGAGCCAAAGACTGAGATGGTCGGGTCATGTTCTTAGAATGTCACAAGACTCAATCCCCAAAACAGCACTTCGCTGTAAAAATAACAGCCGAGCAATGCTTGATTTTGATGCTTTTTTAGTACAAAAATGGCTACCATTCAGCCATCTTGAATCAGATCGTGAAACAAATCGATGTGCATATGTATAATAGTATATATGATATATGTGTGAAATTTGAATGTAATTGGTCCAGGCATGTATAAGATACAGAGGCGGACGCACGCACGGACGCACAGAGGTCAGTCCATAAGTAACCGTTTTCGGACTGCGTCCGAACAGGGACTAATAATAATAGTTGAAATCGGATTTCGGATTTGTGATGTGCTTCATAGTTCTGAAGTTATAGCCTGCCAAACTTTTCAGACTGAAATATTAGCGTATCATCCATTGTCTATTCATTTGATACTTCGAATGTAATTTTGGCTTAATGTTACACCGATTAAAACATATGTAAAACTTGGTAATCATCGAGCCAGCACACGTAACTCAATACTGGCCATGGCCGTCCCATGTCTTGCGCGCATGCGCGTGCGCAGTGGTTGGCGAGAACCTATTGTATAGAAGTGCTGTTTGCTGCTTTTGTTTTAAATATACATGCTTCTACCCGATAAAAAATCAACCTATGGACAACGTTGTCGCAGCAGATCGCGAGCTAGTGTTATTCAGTAAGCGACATTTGGTGTTGAACAATCGTATGCTGATTGGCAACAAATAACGTCACAGTGCCACGACCTTCAAATCACTACAGGAATTATTCTTACGTCACATACGATAGCGCACAAACTCCCAATAGCAAAATTTTCGAATCTAGACTCAAATTCTATCAGTTTCAGCCAGTATTCTGCGTGACTGAGGCATTGTCAATTTCTTCTGTCTTATCTGAAATAATCATATGCACATTATATAATTTGCATAAGTAGTTGATTAATTAGTGCAATAACAGTACTTGCGATTAGTGATACTTTTGTTTAAGATCTGGAATTGTGAAATTCAGTCGATTATTTTGCAAGACAATTAAAAAATGTATGGGATGATTCGTAAAACAATCTACCAATGAAGACCTTATTTATGTATATTGATGTTATGTATGTCAGTGTATTGAGGAACTGTTGAAAATGTGATATCATTGAATTGACGTAACTATGATTAGTAAACGTTATTGACGTTTTTGCTTAATTATCCATTCATAAAAATGTACGATTAATGAAATGTTATAACAAAGTGACTATTCAACGAAATCAGGGGGCGAGCGGTTGCCAAGGAGAGCGCCACCATTTAAAACCTTTATTGAACAAGGCATTTGAAGGTCAGTATGGTGAACTCATGTCGTTAAATATCACTCCGAATGTCAGCACATCGTACATTTAGGAACAATGACGACTTTACTGGTCATAACATTCATCAAACACTATGTACTACACATACAATAATATCACTGAATTGCATAAACAGACACTGATTTCGGTTAAACTACGTTCATGCCAATTTGTTTTTATTCGGCAACCGGGATAGCGATATGATGACATGTGACAATTCCCATCCAAATCGTTATTCGCCTTCGGTATACCGTCGTTGCAAGATTTAACTGTCTGTGAGTTTGGGGTATTATATTTCCGTTTCTTTTTATATTTATTTGCTTGTTTGCTTGTACGTATACCGGGATTCAGTATGTAAAACATTGATTTGACGTTTTTAATATCATCGGCTTACGGAGATAACGTGACCATGTGTTTCGGTACAGAAGGTCGCAGAATTTGTCTGCATGGAAAAACAAACGTCTATTTCAATCACGCACCCTGGATGTAGTAGGTGGTAAAAATAATATTATTATAATTACTAATAGCTTGATGGGTGACCAAAGATTTAACAATTTAATGTACTCGTATCATAAAAATGTTTTATTTTTATATTAGCGACAACAATTTAATTGAAAGAACAGATTTATGTGGGTTTTCTCTTCTGATATCAAACAAATAATTTACCATAGGCATTATGTGATGTAATCGGGGATTGAAAAATTAGAATTAGAAAGAAAAAATCAACTGAGCAAATTGACGTGGATATCTCGTCGGGCAGTCAAGAGGGCGTTGTGTTTATGCCAACTGTGCATCGCGTTTAATCTGTTCACAGTTGTAATGTATGGGATTGGCTGCTCGGATCATTGACGATAGGCACTATTCAGTTGGTATACACTGTAATGCAAATTATACGGCTGTTTACACATATGTTTAATTTGGTGCCTTCACTTCACTGACTGCGGCCGTCAATGATAAGCACACGTCAGACCCACTGTAATACCAGATTGATATTACTGAGCGCATCGTGGCTAGTAACCGTCAATATCAAGACCTATGCGACTCGGCCCTACGGACGCGGTAAGTGCTCGCTAGGTATGTTTTTTGTTGTTTTAATTCAGACACTGCGCGGAATAATATTGATTTTTTTATTGGCGACTGACAACGACCGGCGGCGAACGAATTTTACCCATGTTTAATGCGGATTTCCCGGCAATTAACTTCTACCTGTCGGAACTGAAAATATGTTCTCGTTGAAGTATTAAGAAACAAATGGTATATCCCGTGAAAGTGATGGGGCAATACTCGAAAATGAATCTATCAAAAAACAGCGTCTACTTCATGCGCCAGATAGACGCAATTTCTTATCCAATATACCTAGACAGATAGACAGACCACCGCCATGATTCAATATTATACTCCGGAATGTGTTCTTAAACGCGCGGTAGCCCGATGTCGATACTGCACGGGCGACCAAACAAAGTTTATAACAAACTTTATAACCGACCGTCGATGTTGCCACAACGATCAATCGAATTTAAACAAACATACATCAAGTGACTTCTCAGCTGTGACAAAATCATCGCGAAAAAATAATATAGCTTGGTCGATTTAAATAAAATTTGGAAAATATAGTGTATATAAATATGACAGCACCAGCGTATTTTTTTTAACTGCGCGATCTAGATTCAGATTGTTTTCTGCAATATTTTAACCGAAACATCAGTTTGAAAGCTGATGCCAGTTAGGTATATGGTAGCAATGAATACGTTTTACCAATATTTTTGTGGGTCAATGAATACACTGAATTGAGAACAGTTGTTACTTTATCGGTGTATCACATTATATATGATAAAATGCCCCAACACATAGAGGTGGTCGTGGAATAACAATATTTAATAATTTAGAAAATAGTTTCTTTTCAGGCGAACGAACATCTGATGCATTGTGTTCAAAACCCGTGAATTTGGAACGCGGCCTTGGAAATTATAAATATGGTTATTCGTAAATGTACATATTATATTTTCTCCGATGAGTTCAAATTAAAAATCGTTATAGTTCAAGAATCGATACGCGTGTAAATAGAATCTATCTAACAAGAATATTCCATACAGAGATAATATTATCTCACTTGTCACATGTATTGATCGTCACTGGAGAGATAATGTTATCCCACTGGGTCCATTATGTATTGGTCATCTCTGTGGAGATGATATTATCTTATTCAGACTGGTCTAGTCTGAGTTTAGACTATCACCGGGGAGATAATATATCATTATTTAGACATTTGAGTGTTTATGTATCGAGAGACGATATGAGGTAACCCTGTCCTATATTTGGTTTCCATTCTTTTTTTTGTAGATTAATAAAAAAAACGATGGTTTATATTCAAGTCACTTCACACTAAAATGAAATTAACACAAACATAAGGTCCTAAAATGAATTGGCGGGAAGAAAGTGTAGATATGTATCGCTACGTCAGTGAATGTGGACGCTTTGGTTCATCGTGGTACCCCCAATGTTAATATAACACGTCAGAGGGATTAACCCCTTACTTATAACATTGTGATGATTACAAAATACAGTAGTTCATCTTAATGTCAACAGTTTGTCAACAACTGCGAAGCACCATGGGAGTACCCAAATATAGTGATATCTTGAAATCTACATTGTGCCGTTTGTGAATGTTTACTTGTGATTTGTTATTCTCCTTGCGCATGCGTAATATACCTAGCGACTGAAAACGACAAACGGGCAAACGCTGTCATTGGCACGTTGAACCGACGCACATCCTCAACAGTTTATTTTGGGGCGCTGATTGTGAAATTTGTTTATATTATTGTGCCAACGATTATTTTCTTTTTCTGGCTGTATTGACAACAATTCATTCTGCTGGAAAGTCGCCATTTT